TTGCCTCAAATCACACGAAGTTTACATGTACTTACTAACTTGCTCACAACACAATAACATAGTGGTTACCTATCTTAAGACGGGAGTAACCACAAAAATGTACCTATCATTGACTGTTTTTTTTTAAGTGCTACTTGCATGAAAATGCCCTTATTTCAAAACATCAAGCAAGACAAATATATGACACATTTATATCTATTAAAAACAATTGCGGGAAAATCTTTGTTTTGGAATTATCCCACATCAGGGAAATTTTGATTCAAAAGATGGAAGAACAAAAGGCTGGAGTAAATGACGTCAACTACTCCAACATTTTTTGCCCAAATCATTAAGGATTTGTATCAATATCTTCTTGAAATCTGTTACTTCATGATTATTAGACCCATATGAATAGGTCTATTTGATTTGCAAGTCTTTTKTAATGTTTTGCAATTTTTGTCCAAGTAGCCCTTTAAGATGATGAATATACATTTGTGTTCGGAGGGTGTGACGTCATTCTAGCCCCAGCTGTGGTCAATCAGAGCCCTTAATTGGCAAGAGATTTAAATAATTATTCTAAAAGCTTGTTGCTGCAAACAATTTAAGTCTTACCAATGCGTTCAATTCTTGTGATATCTCTCACTTCTTGCACTTTCTGAGCTGCAGCCTAGAAATATAAGACATTCTCAACAAGAGTCACAAATATTAAATGGAATAGACAATTCTCAATGGAACTTCTCCTTCTTATCTTTCTAATCTTAATCAGTCTTATAAACCCTCACATTCTTTAAGATCTTCATCAGCTAATTTGTTGTTTGAACCATCTTTTAGCCTTAAATTTTATGGCAGATCTTTTGTTACTCATGAGTTATGGAACTCTATTCCTGAGAACGTCCATGCAGCAAAATCAATTTGTATTTTGAAAAAAATAAAATTTGGCTTTTTAAGAAAGCCTTTTCACTTTGTCCTTCGATGTGCTCCGCATTTAAATTCAAAGCGAAAAAAACGCTGCTTAAATTTGACAACAGATTCTCTTGCGCAAAGACCTGACCAAACAAAAATGAGAGCYTGAGAAAATGTCATTACAATAGCCTTGAAAATTTGCATTTTCCCTGAGTTGAGACCAACCCTGTATTCCCATAAGGCKTAAGGTATGAGKCTTCTGCTGGGAATACAGGGTTAGCCTCAACTGGAGGAAAATGTGAATATTTGCAACATTTTCTCGTGCTTTCTTTTGTTTTCGAAAAAGAATTTGCGTAAAATAATTTGCTTTAAACAAAACAGAGATAATTCACTTTGCATTCGAAAATGGAGTATTGAAAAATGTTCGAAAACTTCAGTTTCTATGCCAACACCGGCTAAACTCGAGCTTGGAATTTTAGTTTTCAATAAATTGCAACGGTAAAACAACTACATAATACCCAAATAATCAATATAATACAAGCATTGCATAAATTCAAAAAATAATAGATATTTTCAACATGCAAAGGAAAGTGTGTGAAGATCTAGCGAGACTAAAATTCGTTTGACAGAGATTCGTTTGACAGAGATTCTTACTTCAAATGAGCGGGAAGCAAAGAATAACAAAATTAGACCAGTATTTACGAAAGAGATCGTAAATATCACAGGTAAAAGTGTATTTACAATTTGTAAGACTATCTTATGTTCGTTTTATACTATATAAGTAAGGATTTGTAGAGAATTATTTGTCAATGTCAAATCCACATGGCCTGGACTACTCACCGCCGCCATCTTGGCTTCCTTCTAGATTAGTACCCAGTCTTCTGCGATGAAATTAAAACAGGGAAACCAATAAAAAAGTACATAAATCTATTTTTGTTGTATTAAATCTATTGTTATTGTATTTCCTTCTTCTTCTTCTTCTTCTTCTTCTTCTTCTTCTTCTTCTTCTTCTTCTTCTTCTTCTTCTTCTTCTTCTTCTTCTTCTTCTTCTTCTTCTTCTTGTAGTGACTTCTTGTAGTGAACTCGGCGTAAAAAGTCTAAAAAGATCTGCCGTTAATTGGTGTGCAGCCAATCATCACCAGAKGTCTAATGACTTCTTGACCTTTGAGAACATTTGTGTATAAAATGCACACCTGAGGCCGACTATCAAAAGCTGCATTAGGATAACCACGCAAAAATGACTCTTCGGGATTGGACTCCACGATGCAGCCCCCGACGTTGCTGCTCAATACAGTGTAAAGATCTGCTCCTTCCATTGATTATCATTGGTGCTATCCTTGGCTTTGTTATTGGCGCTTTAATAAGTAGTACAGTGAATGGAATCGAAAGTCCAGAGCAACGAAAGACTGTC